TAAACACTTGAGTGCAGTCCTCTCGTCTCAACGGAGCGGTAGCGACTGATGTCTGAAATAGAAATATGCTTGAAGCTCCCGCAACGTGCGACGGACGATGACTTCTTGAATAAAAACGTAGTATGCGCCAAAACTGTTATATCGTCTAAATCCAAAACTAAAAGGAATTACATAAAATGCCTAAACAAAGCCTTTACTCTTGTATAAGTATAATTAATTATCAAATTTTTGTCGCAATAGGCATTACCATATCGAGTACAAAACGGAAAAATATTAGAATTAGAGGTTACTTCGTGATTTTTTTCTATCGAGGAAATGTTATTATTTCATGTTTTTGATCAAAGTGAACCCTCGGAAATATCATGTAGTTATTCATACATTTTTATTTTAAGATTTGGTCCGGAATTTTTCATGTAAAATCAAAAATAAGATTCGTAATTTTGCTTTATACGCCCTCTTAATAGTACATGGCTGCACGTCTCTGCACCTCGAGATCGACCGGAAGCACACCCGCCAACACCGGCAAAGCCTCAGTGCTAACCGTCCTATATGCCTTACACAAGAATATCAGTGCAAGTCGTTGGCCTTGTAACAGTTTGCGACGGACAGCGCCTACGGTCGCCCTATCGGCCCATACAGGTGCACCATAGCACATAGAACCTAAATAAGTAGCTCCGTATATGATCTTTAATGTATTAAATGATAGACCCCATGTCGCAGTTGATATCCTTGTCAATGCACAGAAACTCTTTTTAGACTTTTCATTAACTATTTTAATATGTTCGATAAATGAAAAGTTTCTTTCTAAAACTAATCCTAGGTAACACACTGAGGCTTTATTTTTTACAGTAACATTGTCAAATCTAATCAGATTCCACGGATGGTAGTGGTATCGCAAGAAAAATCGTCGAAGCCGATATTCCACAAGTATGGACCTAGCACCGATCCCTGAGGACATCCATTGTAAGCGCCTTCTACACAGAATGATGACCAAGTCTTAGTTAGTAGTACCTTGTGAAAACGTACGAAGATATAAGGGAATAAATATTTTTAAAGCACCCCCGTGATTTTAATTTCAGCAACAGCATGGGCCACCATGCGTTGTCTAAGGCGCCAGATATATCTAAGAAAATAGCCAGCACGTATTGAAATTTTGACTCTGTGACAAACTTTCTAACCGATATAACAGCGTCAGTTGTCGATTTACCCAACGTAAATCCAAATTGTCTATCATGAAATTTGACTCCACCTGGCAGAAACCGGGGCACTACCGGGGTTCTAAAAGCTTTCCTAACGATGGTAACTGGCACTTTTTGGTATTATACGAATATTACCGCACCGCCATATACGAGGAAATATTCCTTCAGCAATGCAACGTTTAAAGACAGTGAAAATGTGTCACCCGAAAGTTTACAAGCTTCTTTGATCATTTTGTTAGATATTTTATCATCGCCCGAAGCCTTGTTTAGTGGCAAGGATCTAATGATACCGAGAAATTCGTCTGAAGTTGGTAGATCAGACATTGGAGACAGTGGTGGTTCGATGGCCCACTGCCTGATCTGTCGGTGATGATCAATGTCGCTTTCCGGCCGATCGTCAGGTACAATTGATTCTAAAATAAAAGATATTCGGCTGTTTCTTCTACTCCTGTGGTATATCTGTTATTAATTTTGATGTTCTGTATGTATGCAAGGTCGATTGATCTATTTGCCTTAAATTCGTGATACAAAGGTGACCACGGGCCCTCTCTATCGAGTTTATCGACAAGTTTCTGAATTAAGTTTCCCTTCGATTTTTCCACTGCAGCTCTGTAGTGGGACCTGGCAACTCTAAGAGCAATAAGAGCATTATTGTACAAATCTCCTGTTACGTTATGTTTTTTAAAATTGTTTAATTTTCTACGCGCTTTCCGGTAGCTTCGGCTAATCTATCATTCCACCAATCACATCTACGAGTGTTAGTGATAGATCCGCGACCAATAGATACATCAGCGCAGTATGTGAAAGTTTCTGATAGTATTTCTGCGGTTTCCTCAGCTGATAAACTACTGCGACTGAAGTCTTTGGTATGAGTTGCAAATAGTGAACCAAACAAAGCCCAGTTCGCACCTTTAGTTTTATATCTAAATGCCCTTTGTGGATCCCGTGCAACCCTTGGTGAGACCATCTGTCACCCCAGCAGAAGCAGGCCGGGGTGGCGGCGAGCGCGTTGCTAAGCGCGCTCGCTTCCAGGGAGCAGAGGGAACATGGGGTTCCCACACGGGGGGGGGGGGGGGTCGTCTACTCGTCTGTAGATGGCCCGAGGTATGTCGGGGCACCAGGGACTTCCTTTCTAGGGTATAAATGTTTTTTTTTTTTTTTTTTTCTAGACCCCACACTCGAGTGTGAGACTGTATTTACTGTTTTTATTTGCTACTCTTTCATACACAGCTCTCGCTATCACTCACCTTCCATGCTGCGTACTAGATCTTTCTTTTATCCTTCCTCATTCACACTCAGGCTTAAGGCTCTTTACTTGTTCTACTTAATAACTACTAACACGGGACAATGTGGGAGGAAAAACAGGGCTATCTTTTGTTATACTTATTCTTACTGTCTCACTTACTCTAATTTTAGTTCCTTAACTCTACTATTTACAGAGGCAGTACATCCTTAACTATGAAGACAGATTAGAAAATTTAAGAACTTAACATTATATACAACTACTAACTTAATATAAGTGCAAATTTGTAATATACAATTTGAACCTTATATCTAAGTTACTACTATGTTCCTTACATTAGTTACAAATTTATATATGTTAGCCTAAATATACAACTATACTTATCTAACATATTTTACTTTACACTTTATTTCTATTATTTACAGTTTTACATAATTTTATACAAAATTTGAGGAACATATCTCTGTCCTTACTTTTTATTATGTCCGAAAGGGAATTTTGATCTAATTTTGCGTCCAACTCGATTTCCAGCTCCTGCCTCTCTCGACCATGGGCAGGACAGTCCAGAATGACGTGGAGGGCCGATTCCGAACACTCAGGATCGCTGATGCACGATGGGACTCCCCTTGCACTTGAAACGATGCAAATACTCGGAGAATCCACCGTGCCCCGTCAAAACCTGAGTGAGGAATCTGTCCACCTTTATTTTGCCGATGATCCGGTGTGCGGCTACCGCATCAGGGAAAAACACCCTGGTGACGCTAGCCGTCTCACCGGCACGGTACCTCCGGTTCCATTCATCAAGCGATTGCATACGAATGCTCCGCTTGATGAATGAAACCGGGCAGCTATCGTAGTCAAAAGCGCGCTTTGACTTAAGCGCCGCTTCCTTGGCCAGATAGTCGGCACGCTCATTCCCCTCTAGTCCTGCGTGGGCTTTGATCCAGAACAAACCCACATGTCTGTTCTGGAGCAGAGCTCTCCGCAAATGTCCCCGTGCCTCGACGGCCAGGGGATGGAGGGCTTTCGGATTTGGGTATAAATGGTTCCCCAGCTATTAGTACCCGAGACGGCGTGCGGTTTTAGTCGGTTCGAGTCCGACATGCTACCGATAGGTGGTATCCGAGAGGATTTCCGCACGGAAAAAAAGGGTGAACATTAAAAAGGAATTGCCAGTTGAAATTATTGACTAATATATATAACGATAACTGATATTAACGAATACTTGTACAAAAGCGTTTTATATTACTAATTATTTTTTTAGTCTTATTATAAACCGAAATATAGTTTTGGTTTTATAAACAAACACGTAAAGATAGACCTGAGTGAACCTTAGTGATACATGTTATGAGTAATATTTTTTAGGCATTTGTTGTATATATTATATAACACCAGCTGCCCTGAGCACCTTCGTCGGTGTCCCTCAAAATGTTGCAAAAACGAGTAAAATAGTTTTCCATTTTCCCCGTTTTGCCACATTTTTATTGAGATTCAGCTTCTATTGGCCGCAGCGTGATGTTATGTAGCCTCTCTTTATTAATGAGCCATCCAACAATAAAAGATTTTTTCCATTTGAACGAGTAGTTCCTAATATTACCGCGTTCAACCAAACAAACAAACTATCAAATTTTTCTGTTTTATAATATCAGCTAATTATACAACAAGAGCTGTTACTTATAACCTAAATGATGGATTGTATTTTTTTATTACCTAATTTGGTTCGGTCCCATTTTTTTTGATTAATACTAAATTGACTAAACAATCTAAGTTGTTGGTTCTTCTTTCACTCTGCCCTCATTTTAAAGTATACGCTTATTCGCTATGTCTTCACCTAAAGTTAATTAATGTTACGGCAATTAACCTCATCAGAAAATACTGAACTTGTTAATCTAATTGTATAAAAATGACGAATATGAAATGGAAACATTGACGATATTTGTTACTAGAGATGTGCCAACTCGGATAGAACGACGTCTCGATTTATCTCGAGTTGTGTGATAGTCACATAACTCGATTTGAGCTCTAGTAACATTACAAATTAACTTAACATTACAAATTAACATAACTTAATAAAAATTAACTATCTATATTCACAAAAAATTGGTCATCTTAAAGTAGCAATCTTCACAAAGTAACATTAAATGAAGTGTATGGTGAAGATAAATAGACACTTATTTATGTGTCACTAATTGTTTACACTTTAACCTAGATTAACCTGAAAACGAAACTCCAATACAGTGCATTTGTATACAATGAATATAATCCGACTTATAAAATATCTAAAAAGATTAACTTGCAGAAAAAAATTATCATTTATCATTTTGTCACAAATGATCGCAACTCGCTTAGAATGAATCTATCCCGCAATCGCTTCACACCAATCTCAATTCGAATCGAGGAAAAATGGAACTCGAGTCAACTCGATCTACTCGACTAGGCGCAAATCAGGTAACTCGAGTTAGTGAATCGAGATGACTATCTATAATGTATTCTTAGGTCAATGCATTTGTCACTGTCTAACTTGTCATCTGTCATCATTTGGGTGTCAGCCTACCATCATGGCGGCCGCATTGCTGTCAAATAAGCAATTGCATAAATTTATTAAAAATAATATAAAATTTGCTAAGTCGTTTTCTAGTAGTCAATCTTTTATACTAAATAAATCGCAACTGGGTATCATTTGTCAACAATGTGCTACTACCAGCTATTACAGGGTAAAGTTTTTTAAATTGTTGTTTTCGTAATTATTTGTTTTTCTTGTAAATATTTTTCTTAGTGAAATGGTGTTAATTAAATACAACTATTGTTATAGCATTACTCAACATCACCCCCTGGGCCGAAAGTGGGTCCAGACACTGCAGGAAATGTACTAGCTGCTGTATTAGCAAACAAACCGAAGACTGGAAAAATTCCAGTTGGTAAGTTATTCGTGAATTCTATTATTCTCATAAAATATATTAAAAGCCGTAAGGAAATTTTGTAACTTATTTATCCACGACCTTCCCGGTATTTCACAGTTACATAATAATTGATAATTTATGACCTTGTACTAAGTGTGTAAATAAATAAAGTGTTTACTTACAAAGATAAGTATTGAAGAAGCTATAAAATAATCAATATATATAGTTATATGAACAACATGGTTGGATTCCTAATTGTTGTTTATTATGAATTGTATAGGGCAGTCTCAAAAATCTAACTGATTATTTTTTGTTATAAATGAACTACCAAACTATAAAATTGAGTTTAAATAACCTTATACATAAAAGTAAAATTTTATTTATTTAATTACAAGAATTGGAATCTAAAATGTCAGTGTAACATTGAAATCAGGCTTGTTGGTTCAGTAGTTATTGCTTCTGACTGCTAACCCACAGGTTATGGGTTCAATTCCCACCCAAGATCAATAGTTGTGTGATGAGTACACACACATTTGTTCTGTGTCTCTTGGCTCTGCCTAGTTTGGAATCAGAAGGCTGTGTATGAGATGTGTTAAGTGATTATGAACAACTTTGTAGGAGTTCTAAGAACTAGTAGTTTGACATTATATTTTGTCAGTACTGTTTTGTATTGTTTTGTTTGCACTTTATACAAATAAGTTTTTAATTGTTTCCCAAGATGTTTCCTTCTTGTGTTTGTGTTCTATATTGAGTTTTATCTGTAATGTCTTCCTTTTGTATGTAGTACCTTGTGTGAATGTCCACCCGTCAATAACTCACAAAATTTTTACAGTTACCATTAGAGCCATAGGCTAACACAAGAAGACACATAGAAAACATACATAATCTCATGAATTTTTAAGCTTGCAACACTGTACATTTATTTGTTACTAATACTTGGTTGGAACGCAGCTCTTTGTTTTTCCATATTCCTATTATATCCCGCATGAATCCTAACCCAGCTTGTTTTTCTCATCCTGCTAAGTTAAACCTGTCCTGTTCGAGTATCCTGATGTTATTTCCCCTCCTTAGGTATCCAAAAAAGAGACTGCTTTCACCCAGGTGCATCTGTTTTGTCTCGTGAAGATATTAACTTGGGTGATGCGAAGCCGGTTACTGGAGCGGATATGATTAGAGGCATGTTGGAGTATGTATGGCCTAAGGTAAGAAGTTTATTTAATTTTTTGTTGACATCTGTTTAAATATCAACCTTGAGTTTTTATGTTAATAGTATATTAAAGTATTGTAAGTAAGTGATACATCACAGTAAAACGGTGAACTAGTGTATTTTAAAGCCAACATCTTTTATCTTAACTGTTAAAATTGAAATGTATTGTAATGTGATGTGGCTCGGTTAAAAAAACAACTCAAACTGGCCTTAAAACTATCAGGACACTATAATCTGCCTAAATATTGGTCTATTTGTTAAATTCTTTACTGTACGCTTGTCATAAATAATACACGTTATACACAGGAACAAATGTGTAAAGGTGAGCTTAAGTCATTGTTGAGTTTTCTTCTGGCAAACTTTGAGAGAAGATAGCATAAAGAAATTAGAGCCAGTTATGCGGGCCTGTCGGTCTAGTGGTTAGTGACCCTGACTGCTATGAGCATGGTCATGTTTTCTGTGTCTACTTATAATTTATCTAGAATATGTATTTATTTTAAAATATATAAGTATGTTTATAAAATTTATAAAATAAAAATAATTCAGTTTTTTTTTAACATTATCTAAACTAATATTATAAAGCTGAAGAGTTTGTTTGTTTGTTTGAATGCGCTAATCTCAGGACCTACTAGTCCGATTTAAAAATTTCTTTCAGTGTTAGATAGCCCATTTATCGAGGAAGGCTATAGGCTATATATCATCACGCTAAGACCAATAGGAGCGGAGCACCAATGAAGAATGTTTCAAAAACGGAGAAAATTTATTACTATTGAGAGACGCAGACGAAGTTGCGCGGGTCAGCTAGTCCTAAATATATTCTAATGAAAATTCTTAAACGAGTCGTACAAAGCTTTATGGAATCCGGTTCACTTAGAACATGATACATGATTTTATTGTATTACATATTTTTCAACAGTTCTAAATTGTTATTATTGTAATTACAGGACAATGAAATGATCAGACGTCGAGTGATGCTCTCGGTGTCCTTGCTCTTTGGTGCGAAAATAATGAACGTCACCGTACCGTTCCTGTTCAAGTATGCGGTAGATGAAGTGAATAATATGACTGCAGCGCATGGAGACGCCATATTAGGCATGGCTACTGTGCCTCAAGCTTTAGGGACAACGGCTTTCAGTTTGTTATTGGGATGTAAGTTAAATGTATCTGTCAATAACTGTTTCTGCGACTTGCAACCACGGTATTGCGAATTTTTAGTTAAATCGTGTGTCGAACTTCTTTTGTAGATTAGATCGTAACGGTTTTTGTCTTAAATTTGAGATTCTGTCCCTATTTTTTTTTCAAAACGTAATTATACGTTCAAGTGAAAGTATATGTATACGCAAGAACGAAACTCTTTGCACAAGTTTCTATTGGTTGGGTGCGTTTGCTCATAACTTCAGCGCTCGTGCACCGTCCAAATCTTACTTCTTATTAATTCTCAATTCCGTATGCTGTATGTTCTGTAAAAGAAGGTATTTTTGAAGTAAAACTTCTTTACGCACTTGGCGACGCGCGTTACGAAAAGTGTGATCGGGCGAGGCGAACGGAGGCGATATCAGTTAGTGATGATAGAAAGAGAGAGAGAGTTACGTTTCGTATATCACTGTAGGGGTAAGAGAGAGAGGTGCAAGCACACATTTTCTTTCTCTCTTCCTCCCATAGCCAAGATGTTTTACTTAAGTCGTGTGGTCTAAAGTACACTCTTTATTTTAATTTATAGAGATTTATTTTTTAATTCTTCTCTATTGTAGCATTTATACTTTTTGAAATTTGGTGACATAATCAGTGAGTTACATTTAAATGTTGCACACGTCTGCTCTGATAGACTATTATTGATATGATATTTTTTTATTATATTATTACGCTCTTGTATTAAGTATGTATAGATAAGAGTTCTGTTATATCAAAACGTTTGTCGTATCTGGTATGCTTATAGCTGTATTAAATTGGAATCTATTTACATCTTTACAAAAACAATTCACATGTTTCTGGTGTTATAACACTTTAGATTTAGATGCAAAAAATGGTGTGTTACATGTGTCCCTTAATGTTTTAGATTTTGAAATTGACGTTGCCGCTGCAACTGGGTTCTAGGTCTAGGATCTTGCCTCTAGGATATTTTAATAATTAAATTTTATATAATTGCATTTGAATAAGTATATGGTTTAGATATATTAGATTTTTTGTTGTTTGTTGGTCCTATCTCAAAAAATTCATTCTTTTGTTTGTTGTTCAAAAATTCCCAAAACGACTTAAGTTCAAAAAGCGTGCCTGGCTAACACTATGACACCCGCTGTTATACAATAAAATTCTAACGCTGTTCTTATTACTTCTCTTTATATGACATACAACCCGTCTGGCCAGCGTGGTATAGTAGGCCAAAACCTCCTTTCTAAGGAGAGGCCTATGTCCAGCAGTGGACTAGTAAGGCTGTTGATGATGATATGACATTCTTTAGTTAGAGGTGTGCAAAAGTAAGAGAAATCTTAGACTATATATCTTATCTTAATATCCTCCTTATCTGTGAATGTAGTTACTTACAATTTTACATAATTCTAACGTGATTGTTTTTAAACGGTCTGAGTGACTGCTCTGCTTTAAAAAGACAAGTGTTGATGTCTTTAAAGAGCCGGAATCATGGTCTAAGATTTATTTTATTCGTTTATTTATTTAAGGATCTCCAACAACAAAATATCAAAAATACATTTCACACGGGTATTGGTATGTGTACTCCTTCAATTAAAGGAGACCACAGCATGCGTATTTTCAACTAAGTTAAAAATAATTTTATGATACAATAGAGCCTAAAAAGGAAAAGTGCTTAGCATTTACAATAAATTGAAAGTGCAATAAAATTAAAATTAGGAGAAAAAATAAAACACAAACAATAAAAAACATTAAGTTTACAATTTTCCCAAACGTCTTTTAAGTTCCGTAAAGATTGTTAACAAGATGTCATTTACAAAGAACTAGACTAAATATATATCTAAATCTATGTATTCTCGAATTTGTAATGGTCAGCTTCACTGCGTGTGACCTCACTGAGATCGCCGTCGTAGGATACATCGAGGAGTTATTATCCTGTCAAAAACGAAGGAAATATACATAGACCCAGACATCCAGTGTTACCCAATATAAATGGACCATAACTAACAGTATTATTATATATAGCACGAATGGCGTAGTGGTTTAAGCGGTCGCCACGCCGCTATCTACTACGCTGAGTGTTGTGAGTTCGTACCCCACATGGGACGACACTTTGTCATCGTCATCATCATCAACAGCCTTTAATAGTCCACTGCTGGACATAAGCCTCTCCTTAGAAAGGAGGTTTTGGCCTACTATACCACGCTGGCCAGACGGGTTGGTATAGGGTTTGTGTCAAGTACTCGGGCCGGTACCCCGTCTGGCCCAGGGGCGGTGTTCTTATCACCGCCTCATGCCGCCCTGAGTGTGGCCGCGGGTGGACGAGGTGGGTTTCCCCTCCACCCGCATTAGTTTGGCCAGCCGCGAGGGGGCGGCGTCCGCGTGTGCCGGACGTCGCCTAAAGAGAGGAAAATTTTGAGACGGAGCCCGCACCAGGAGCGGGCTGGCGCTAGGAGGGGTCCGGATGTCTTAACAACAGCTGTTCCCGGATCCCTCCTGTTACAGGCGCAGAGTGGCACACCGTGTGGTTTTAGTCGGTCCGAGTCCGACACACCACCCCGCCGCAAACCCCGGTGGCGTGACGGTCCGAGGGGATTTCCACACGTTAAAAAAAAAAAGAAAAAAAAAAGGGTTTGTGTCAAGTTTTCCTTCTCTCTACAGTGCTGTTGTTCTGCGTAGTTTTCTGCCTTAGTCGGCTCTTACGACACCCACGGGATGAATAGGGGTGGTGACACTCTGTATTCTTAATCCGTCACCACACGGACTACACACACGGAAACTTTGTGTGATCCATAAATTGTTGTTCTGAGTCTGGGTGTTCTTTGTGTCCGTTTCATGTATGTTTGTAAAGTCCCCCGCATACAGGATATATTCCTAATGCGGGAGTTGACTTTTTTTTTAATTAAAAAGAAAAATATAACTCTCATAAAAACTAAGTGTGTTGAAATCGATCTGATCATTCCTGAGTGTTGTGGGTTTTATCCCCTAATCCCCAAATAAGAACAGGATCTGTGTGATTTACAGATATCTGTTTAGAACCGGACTTTTTCTTGTCAGTTAAGAGTAAATATGCATTTTTTTTAAAACACTTCCAAGTTATTAAAACACAAAGTTTATTTAAACTATTTCTATGTATTTTCAATAGTCAAGAGTAGGAATTATTGAGAATAATATATATATATATAATAAAGTAGTGCGCAGTGGTTTAAGCGGTCGCCACGCCGCTATCTACTACGCCGAATGTTGTGGGTTCATACCCCATATGGGACGATACTTTGTGTGATCCACAGATTGTTGTTCTGAGCCTGGGTGTTCTTTGTGCCCGTTTCGTGTATGTTTGTAAAGTCAAAGGATATATTCCTAATGTGGGAGTTGTGACTTTTAAAAAAAAAAGTAAGCCAGTCGTGAATCTGGATCCAATACGTAGAACTTGTAGAGAAGAATAGACAAGCAGTTAGGCAAGAAGATTCTTGAAATTCCAAGAACAATATTTCTCAACATATTTTTTTATTAGTTTTTATTTACATTGCTAATCTAATATGAGAAAAACGTAACATATTGTTTTAAAATATGAACAGCCAGACAGAGGCAATCTGGAGATGACCAGCTTAGACCTACAATAGTTTTTAATAAGTCCTCGCTCCTCAGATGGTATCGCACGAGCAAGTGCTGCGGGCTTCAACGAGTTGCGTAACGCCGTGTTCGCCAAGGTGGCTCAGCACTCCATCAGGAAGCTGGCCTGCAACGTGTTCATACATCTACACAACTTGGACTTGAGCTTTCACCTGGGCAGACAGACAGGAGCACTGTCTAAGGTAAATTACCTGCATTTGCTAAATTTGCCTTTACCGATGGCGCAAGGGATATAAGGGTCGCATCGCTTTTACGTCGGGATTTGCGGATTCGATTCCCACAAGATACAAAAATAGTCTTTGTGTCTATAAATTGCCTATAAATTCTTCCGGAAACACGAATAATTCCTAGTGTGTGATACAACTACGTGTTTGCTAAGCTAGCCTAGTGCTTGTTAGAGAACATCTAAACTTTACGACACTGTGTGATCAACAAATTGTTGTTCTTATTCTGGGTGTTCTTTGTGTCCGTTTCATGTATGTTTGTAAAGTCCCCCGCGACACAGGATATATTCCTAATGCGGGATTTGTCTTTTTAAAGGAAGGAAGGAACTATATCATAGAATTATTTCATGTTTAATAAAACTATTTCATGACTAGTTGTTTTTTATGATAAAATTGACTTAAACGTCAATGCTTGATGACATGTAAATTCACGTTTTTCCATTTCGTTAATGTAGGGTATCAATGTTTTAAATACACTTCAATTAAAATTCGAAATAAATAAGAACCATACAGTGTCACATTTATACGTGCATGAAGTATAAATAAATAAATCCTTTTTAAAGAAAAGCTGAACCGACTTCAAACAGTTAGTAGTTGGTATAACAAAGAACACTAAAACGTCAGTTTATTTGCTGTCATTTTTTTTAAGAATTCCGTTGTATTATCAGATCTATGTAAAGTTTTAATGGGACCATTTGGGAATAAACCCCTTTCGAATAAAAAAACAATTTTGAAAAGCCGTCTAAATATGACGGAGTTACAACATACATAAAAAAAACATATAAACATCCGAATTGATAACCTCCTCCTTTTTGAAGTCGGTTAAAAAATAAAGCACCTTGTATCTCTCAAGTTTTCATAACGACACAACACTGCACATTGGTCTTAAATTTTCGCAATGTTATTCGCTTTTCAAAAAAAAAAAAATCATAGACAATTTTGTTTTTATGTATAACCTGTATGTAATATTTGACAGACGATAGACCGCGGTTCTCGCGCCATTAACTTCGTGTTGTCGGCGATGGTGTTCAACATTGTGCCAACGATTTTCGAACTGACGCTTGTGTCCGCCATTTTGGGGCTCAAAGGAGGCCTCGCCTTCACCGGTAACTACAATATATTTAGTAGATATTATAAGTATCTGCTAATTTAATAATATTTGAATGTTGATCGTTTGTTTTCATCAGAAGTTTACCTAAAGGACTATAAGCGTTTTATGTAGTTTAAACTTTCGTTATCCTTAATTGTCTTAAATAACAATAAATTAATTTTGAAAATCTCTAATTCATACTGGTAAAAATTGTACAAATTCCTGTCATAATTTATTCAGAAGAGGGGGTCATTATGCCGCATTATACGTATAAAAACTAATCGGATAAAAAAAATACCATACAGTTCGTTTTTTGTGCAATCCTTTTTTTGTTTTGGCCTACTGTACCACGCTGGCCAGACGGGTTGGTATAGCGATTTTTTCAAGTTTTCCTTCTTTTTGCAGTGCTGGTGTCCTGCGTAGTTAGTCCCTTAGTCGGCTCTTACGACACCCACGGGATGAATTGGGGTGGTGACACTCCGTATTTTTAATCCGTCACCACACGGACAGAAATTATACTTATTAGAATGTAAATGTTTTTTAAATCCGTATGTAGTAAAAAAACGTTGTTTCTCGTTCTTTTTTTCATTATAAGTTTTCAATACGTTGTACCGGCTCGTTTAGTGAGCAGTAAAAAGCTGGTAAAACGGTAAAATCGCGAGATGAATATATATTTTTGGCGCAAACCCTAAGGTCTGGCGTGGAGCTGCGTGGGCGTGTACGCGGTGTACACGCTCGCCATCACGCAGTGGCGGACAAAGTTCCGCGTGCACATGAACAAGGCCGAGAACGAGGCCGGCAACAAGGCCATCGACTCGCTCATCAACTACGAGACTGTCAAGGTGAGGGACTACGGGAAATACAACCTATTGTCGCCTAAGCAGGCGGACCTGTTGGTCGGATTGACCCCACCAAGGACGAACAATTATTTTATTTTATATATATTTATTTTCTGGCAATTCTTCTGAGAGGAGGTATATATACACGCCCCCCTCTCAACAGTAGGGCCGAAACCAGCTAAATCCCCTCGCTTGTTCGCAGGATCCTCCCTTTGTGTTGGGGAGATATAATTAGTTCCTCCATAAGATCATTATATCGAGTAACTTAGAAGGAATCAATACTTTAGATAAAAAAAGTGTGTGTGTGTGCAATTTACACACGGTAGATGTCAATCTTAAAAAAAAAGAAAACAATATCTTAGAAAACCCGTATAAAATTTTGCCCGGCCCGGAAATCGCACACACTAAGGCAGCGTTTTTCAAATTTCACGCGAATGGAGACGCTGGTACCAGCTAGTACTAAATAAAAAGATAAAAATATTCACACTGTCAAAATATTATATTAAAAATAATGTGTAATGTATTCTATCTCATTTTCTCACCGACTTAGGCTCGTATTTTAAAAGACCTCTCAAGTGTCGGTTGAACTCTGATTGCCTGAAACTAGTTTTAAGTGCAGATCAAATCTTAAGTATCGATCTTATTATAGAACGCGTTTTGAGTTTTACTCAGTTGAAACTAGTTTCAAGTATTAATTTGAACTTACAGTCTGTTGTCAATTACGTTTCCGCATGATTGACATTATTATTCCGCATTACGCAGCTAATTATTTAAAAAATATTTTTCTATTACATACATAATTTCTGTGAATTTGTATATAATATACTATTGGCTAGTGTAGAAATGTTAACAGCAAGCGTAAATGTTATTAATAAGCTTGTTGTTCGTTCAAAATGAAATATAATAAATATTAAAATAAAAATGACTAGCTGTATGAATAGGCTATAACGGAACGTTCTAGTTATTTATCAACACTTAACATGTTGAAATGTCAAACGATGTTTTTATTTCATATTTCTGAAATTTATATTACTATACTTTTAACATAAACCAAAAGATTGTAGTAATTTAAACTGGTATTGTGTGTGTAAAATGTGAATTTTGGTGAATTTCAATTCAATTAAGGTAAATTAAAGTGAAATTGATTATAGTATGACAAGTAATTCTTTCGTAAATAAAGTAAAGTAAATCTTACGTAATTATTCAAAAACAAATCATCGTAAAACAGATTAATTTCCCTTAAATGCCTTAGAAATCACCGCTTGAGACTAGTTTCAGCTTGTCTCACGTAAACAAAGATCACAGCTGTCAAAATATATACCTGAGTAATGATTTCGACATAAACATCGTTCTAAAATAAGCTATCACTCAGTTGAGTATGGATCGGTGAAACTCGTTTTAAGTGACGTTCAATAAAAAAATCTCTACTTAAAATTAGTTTTAAGACTAGATTCACGACTGAGACACCTTTTAAAATACGGGCCTTAATCCTATACATTTATGTGTTTGTTTCTTTATCGTGACGCATTATCGTTTCATCGAGTTTCAAATCACAACGATTTAAAAGAAATTTTACTTTAATAATACTCAATTAACTCAATATTTCTTAGGAATAATCAAAGTTGATCAATATTTGTACGGTGTTCCAGTATTTCAACAACGAGAAGTACGAGCTGCAGAAGTACGACGCGAGCCTGAAGGTGTACGAGCACGCGTCGCTCAAGACCGCGTCGAGCCTGGCCGCGCTCAACTTCGGCCAACACGCCATCTTCAGCGCTGGACTCAGCCTCATCATGATCATGGCCGCCAAACAGATCGCACAGGGTACCCTAACTCTTAGCACAATATCACCAAAATCATTTTATTTATGGCCAATCAATTTTAGGCTCAACAGGGGTCCTTTATCGAGGACTGGAGCGATTTGTCGCGTCATTGTTGCCATGTTGAATATGCGATTCAGCAGCACCCAGCTCTACCTAAATATGCTTATACCGGACTTATAACAGGAATTAGGCAATTTTTACGTAACCTTTTAAAGTTTTTAGATCACAAAATATTACGTTTCCATTTCTCGGCTAAATACTATCCAGTTGTTTGGCACTTGTATTACTTAAATATAACAAACTAAGCTTTTACTTCCAAACTTGATCAACTCTCCTCTTAGTTGCATATTAGACTAGCTGACCCGCGCAACTTCGTCTGCGTCTCTCAATAGTAATAAATTTTCTCCGTTTTTGAAACATTCTTCATTGGTGCTCCGCTCCTATTGACCTTAGCGTGATGATATATAGCCTATAGCCTTCCTCGATAAATGGGCTATCTAACACTGAAAGAATTCTTCAAATCGGACCAGTAGTTCCTGAGATTAGCGCGTTCAAACAAACAAACAAACTCTTCAGCTTTATAATATTAGTATAGATTAATTGTTTACTACGCACTAAGGACGATAAAACCGATTAAAACTAAACCGTGAGATATTGCACCATATGAACAACGCAACTGTAGTTAGACTGGCACAATCAACATGTTCTCCATAGTTCTGGAACTATAAACGTCAAAAATCGCAGGTTCAATTCCCGCTTATACGAATATGCTTTGTTTTTTTTTTAATAAAATATGCACATGTACATTTAGACAAAATAATTTTTAATGTGTTAATCCATGTTCTAAAACCAACATTACAGTAGGATGCCATAGTGTTATGCTTAGTTAGGTCTATATACAGAGTTTTATATATTTTTTGTATTTACAGGTTTGGGATATGGTATTTCATAGTGAAATCTATTAGAAAAAAAGGCTACTACAAACCCCTAAAGTATCTAGGTAGACTTAACCAGTAACCCTGTGTATTTGAGAATATATATGCATATGTCATATATTACGATATTCTGCTATTTGTCCTCTCAGGAAACATGACAGTGGGTGACCTGGTGATGGTGAATGGTCTGCTGTTCCAGCTGTCCATCCCTCTGGGCTTCCTGGGCTCCGTGTACAGGGAGGTGAGGCAGGCTCTCATTGACATGCAGACCATGTTCACTTTAATGACGGTGCAGTCCAGGATAAAGGTATGTAATTGTTGATGATATTTTTCAAAACTCCTATTTAGGCAATAAAATAATTAAATACAAATAGTATATATATCTGCGGGCCCATACGACTGTCAAACCTTCAAGAAAAGAGCGTACTCCTTTGTGACGCGTTTGTGACTCCTGAGTTGCAGACTTCCATGGGCGGCGATGATCACTTTCCATCATCTATGCTATTTGTATTTAATTATTTTATGATAATTGTTCATGTCACTAATCGATTAATTGCTGCCAGATAATCGATTAGTGATATCGAGTAGTCATGTATTTCACTCCAACACATGGAAAAACATAAATGTGAAGCGTTCTGTCATGTGAGAGGACGATTCACTTTGATGTATTTAACTTTCCATGATCGTAGATTATCGAAATTACTAGATCGTAAATTACCAGTTTAAAAAAAGTTAATTTCAATAAATTAAGAGGTCAATGATATAACCATCCCTTGCAATAATGATAAATAATGTATTAATCTATTTTAAGATGATGAGGTCGATGATTGATATTCACTGTGATGATTTTCCAGGAGAAGCCTCAAGCTCCTCCGTTGAAGGTGGACGCGAAGACCTCGACGATAGAGTTCAAGGACGTGAGCTTCAAGTACATCAACGGGAAGCCGATCTTCAACAATCTCAGCTTCAGCATTCCTGCTGGCAAGAAAATTGGCATCGTCGGAGGGTCCGGCAGCGGGTAAGACCTGTGTGAAGGTATACGGGGTTTAAGAGACAAGGAATTCTATGGCGCTTAAGCTAGAAAGATTGATCTTAGAAACTTATACTTTTCCTAGCTCTTTTCAACCACTAAGGTCTTCTTCAGTTTATGCCATCTTTCTCGGTTTTGGGCAGTTCCCGCCAGTCTTTTAGTGTCGTCACTCCAACGCATTTGTGGTCTGCCTCAAGGGCGTTTCTCACCTCACGGCCTCCACTCAAGGCACACAAGGCACAATACCCAACCCACTCCCACTTCTACTTTGCAACTCTTTTGCTCAATTTGCTGAGTTTTTATCCACTCCTTCTTCTTACGGTCTCCGAGTTTGACCCACCATTTTACTTTCAACTGCTATTTGGGCTACCTGAAGTTTGTGGCTGATGAATTTTGGATGGAAAACCCAATTTGAATCGTGCCAATTGGCACAAATTATCATGTATCTAAAATGATTTTTTTTTGTGGGGACCCATCCAGATATTCACCACGATTGAACTGCCTTGATGCCACAGCCTCACAGAGAACTGGTGTAAAGTAATTCTTGCATTGTCTTTCACTTTGTGAGTGAGGTTACTGGAGCCCAAATTTTCTCCCTCCCCTTTGATTCTGGAGGAAGGTATTGAAAGGGCGGTAATGCACATATGAATGTGTCCATGGACGTCGGTAGTCACTTACCTTCAGGTGACCTCTGTTCGTTTGCCTCCTATAGCATAAAAAGAAGTTGTACTCGGTACTGATCGATGCATCCTGTAGTACCTACTGGAGTATTGACAATCGTAAAATTCAATTTATTAAAACAGCATGTCCCTCCAAAACAAAGGGAGAATCCTCCGACCAGGCGAGGTAATCATACCTAGCGAGCCACGGCCCAACGGTTGATGTTGGGAAGTTGTATATATACTAATCGGCGAGAGAATTTTTCATATCGCGATACAGGATACCGAAATAAGGAGTAACTATTGAATGAGATGTATCTGCGTTAGATGGCGCTGTAGTATGTTTCTTTGTATGTGGGAGTCGCCACACTGCGTATATGTTATTAGCTAGTAGTATTCATAATTATATGTTATAAACTTAACTTTCAGAAAATCCACAATGGTGCGGCTGCTGTTCAGATTTTTCGAGCCACAGTCGGGCAATATAACGATAGCGGGACAGAACATAAAGGACGTAGACCTGGCCAGTCTCAGGCAGGCCATTGCTATAGTCCCACAGGTACGTCTCAATTCTCATATTGACTGCGCGGATGGCGTAGTGGTTTAAACTGTCTCCTCACCGCTTCCTACTGCGCTGAGCGTTGTGGGTTCGATCCCTACATGGGACTACACTTTGTGTGATCCATAAATTGTGTGTTTTTTTGTGTCTATTTGAATACATAGGCCTTTAAATCTCTAAAATGGATTTAAGTGACACTTAGATCGATTTCAGGCTTGTCGCATCTAGTATTTTCTTTTTATTTAAAAATAAAAATGTCCAATGAAATTTTAGCTATATCACACAGACACAGAGAGACACATGAGCCGGCTCTACCGGGATGAGACCACCACCACACATGAGAAGTAGTTAAAGCGTGGCAACGCTGTTGCGTCAAAATATCTTTATTTCACGACATTTTTAAAATGGTTTGAAATCGTCTTTATGTAGACTCTAAAGTCGTAGATTCACACACAATAGCAAAAATCTCTGTTTTGTCAAATAATTAGCAAAGTAAATGTATACCTGTGCGATCTACAACCGCGCGTTTCCAAGGGGTTGAGGCTTATGAGAAGAAAGAGCAAACAATATCATGGTCATTAGACGACCAGTTGCTCGTTTTAACCCCTAGCGTTTAAAAAACCCCTAATATCGAAGATCACCCTACAAAGACATCAACATAAAAAGAAACTAGGTGACACATAGGTAAATTGTTATTACGTCATGTTATTTGAATGCTAATTAATATAAAAACATAGAAGGTATATACATATGCCACTCGGGTACATGTCAAAAGTAAAAGCAACGTAAAAAATTGTTTCAGGACTGTGTACTGTTCCACGACACGATATTCCACAACCTGCACTACGGTGACCTCACCCAGCCCGACGAGAAGGTGTACAACGCCAGCAAGATGGCCGAACTGCACGAGTCTGTGAAGACTTGGCCCAAGGTAAACATTGTGATAAAAAAATTGCCAAGAAACAACACAAATAACAAAAATGTTTTTTCAGACGAATATAATCTTGGGATCGTAGGCCAAAACCTCTTTCCTAAGGCGAGGCCTATGTCACGCAGTGGGCTAGTAAAGGTTGTGGATGATGATGAATCTTGGGATAAAAGTCATATTTTTAATTTGAAATCAAATTTATTCATATTTAACAGAAAATGTAATTGGAGTGTGCATTTATTGTAAAATGTTTGTGTCAGGGCTACCAGACGCAGGTGGGCGAGCGCGGGCTGAAGCTGTCGGGCGGAGAGAAGCAGCGCGTGGCCATCGCCAGGGCCATCCTCAAGGACGCGCCCATCATCGTGTTCGACGAGGCCACCTCCAGCCTCGACTCGCTCACCGAACATGTAGATCTCACCTTACTATACATTATTACATCCTCAAGAACGCACCTCAAACAATAAAACCTGCAACTACTAAACTTACTAAAAACTAAAGAAAATATTAACTTAATTAAAATAGTATTCAACCTTTTCGTGATTGAAACATGTTCTTATTTAGACAATACCGAAGTTGCCTGTTTTTATTTTAATTTTGAAACCTGTTACCTCAATGTTAATCATGTCATAAATATAACCTCTCCCCCCCCCCCCAGGCCATCCTGCAGGCCCTGAAGGCCGCGACGGTGGGCCGCACGTCCATCTGCATCGCCCACCGCCTGTCGACGGTTGCGGACGCCGACGAGATCCTGGTTCTGGAGCGCGGCTCCATCTCCGAGCGCGGCACTCACGACTCGCTCCTCGCCAATAGCGAGTCGCTCTACAGCCGCCTGTGGGACAAGCAGAACAAAGATTTCTCCGTAAAACAGAACTCTACCTCAAGCACAAGTAACTCTTAAGTGTATCGACTAGTGTAGTGAGATATTATAGTGATCCTCGACTCGTCTTGAACTCTGGTTCCTACGCGGAGTCTTGTGTACAAACTTGTCCTATGATTTTAAACGTATTACGTACCTATGTCCTCGACAAAAGAAACTCACAGCGAGGTATACGTTGATATCTTCACGCTATACCAAAACACGCTATAATTTCGATCGCTTTTCGCGTTTGACCGATTAAATAACTAACGATGATCAACTAAATAAAACTACCGACTTACCGATTTATAATATTTAGAAAATTATTAGTGTAGTACAATAAGTGTACCCATAAAGTAAACTGCGTCTATATAAAGTTAAATTTCAATAACTTCAATCGACTTGACACAGTGTCCTACTGTGTTTGGTATGGTCTGGTGTTAAGTCTAAATAATTGGAGTTGCTAATACATAACCGCAGTCTATGTAAACTAATTGTTTGGCCACCATTTTATACTGTTTCAAACATATTTAAATGTTTATATTTAGACATGACTATTTAAGTATAAAATAAATCAGTATGAAGAAAAATTTAACACTATGAAATATAATATTCGAATAATACCTCAACTGACCTCATATATTTAAATAAACAAGGGTTAATTAAGCTGCCGCTTGCATCACTCGACAATGACAATTGTGAGTGATTTACTTAAAAATAGCTGGTGATTTGTCACAAAGTATTGGCAACATTGTGTATCCTAGTGTATGTACACAAGGTCTCAAGTACACACTATATGAGATACTGACGTGTAACTGTGGGTGTTATAACTATTTCAATGTCATTTCCTTTCCAATTACATTGATTTTTTGATATTACATATTGTTAACGGATTGATCTGATATGACAGACTATGGCAGGATAACATTTAATGGTATTGTATCCTCATATGAGAGTACATTTATGAATATAATATGTACTATTGTGATACACCTAACCTCGTAGTACACTTACGTGGTACAGTGTGGTGTTTTCGTACTAAAATATAATCAATCGAAGTGTATTTGATTGATTATAGTTTTTGCGCTTATTTCAAAACACTGCGAAATATGCTTTTATAGCAAAATAATGACATTCGGTACGTAATTAAAGTATATTATTGATCAAAAGTTCAAAACCGAAAAATGAACATAAAAAAATCTTTTTCTGACTTAGTATACTGACCTTACTGACTTCTCAGTATTTATGAAATGTAATTCGAATGTGTATTAACAGTTAATACCAAAATTATATAGTTTTACCCAGGGGTATATAGTTAGGTTTTTTTTAGATTATAACATTTATTTTTATAAAATTATTACTGTTCACTTTGGCCTTGTTTGTGGTACTTATTAATTTAGTAAAATATTTGAATTGTACATAATTTTAACATCAAACAGGGTAAGAAACTGTAATGTTCAAATTTAATTTAATAACAGTGCCACTTCAAGCCATATTGTTCCAGAGCATGACCACTCTTATAAACATCTTATCGTTCTGGCTTCTTAGTCAGTTTTCTGATATTTGTTCTGACATTGGACTAGATGTCTAAAACTTCTTTTAAAATATACCCATTTTAAATTGCATCACCCAACATGTAATTTTACATGTGTTATATCTGTAAAATCGTTTCGAATTCTTAGTAATATAAAGATCTGAATATGAGATAAGGGAGTATCCATAGCTAAGTCATCCACAGACAAGACTAAAGAGTCAAATGTTGTTGTGCAAAATATTGTTGATGTAAATAAACAAAGTTGTTGGTGCCGTGTGTGGTTTGTACAGTAACTTGTTGGATAAGTATATTATTTTGGTTACAATGTGTTTTATTTACCTTTTCTTCATATAATAGGGGTATACGGTACGGAAACTGTCCGGCTAGAATCCGACTAAATAATATTTATGTATTTGAATTAATGTTAAATAAAATCCAAGTAGGTACTACAAATTTAAATGTGGTGATTTAAATAAAAAGACGTTTATGAAACTGAATATAATAATATAATATTCTACCACATTCACACAGCACCATCTAGTCCCAAACCAAGCAGAGCTTGTACTATGGCTACTAGACAACTGATATAAATACATATATACTTTTTTTTTGTAAATACACACATATTATACATAGAAACGCCCAGACCAAATCAAACATTAAAAGTTCATGCACACAAATGTTTGACTTGAGCGGGAATCGAACCCGCGACCTTTGGGATAGCAGTCCGTTTCACAAACCACTATGCCATTCGGTAGTCTACAATACATAATCAGTAGTCTTGCATTAAGTAGAAAGAAACATGATATATAGAACAAAGTATATGCCAGTTTAAAACATTTATTTTTGCTACACAAGAAACATAAAACATACACGGATACAAGGCACATTACTAAAACACAAAATTAATTTTATAATACATTTGGCAAAATAGCAAGGGCTACCAGCTCAGTACACGTTGCGCGAAAGCACAACACTGGTTTGAAACTACACGCACACCAACAGTTGGAAACTGAACGCACACAGATAACTCGCATCACAATGAATATAAAATAAAAGTAATAATAAAATTGTAATACATAAAAAAAAATGACAGGAGTGTATATAACAAACAAAAAAAAGAATTATTTATTGAAAGGATACAAAAAAGTGTTAAAATTATGTTTACAATATATGTATGCAGGTTCTCACGACCAGACTAAGAGCGAACATGAAAGACGGGTGCGAAGGACACACGGTTCCCCTACAGTAATTTCTGTTGAGTAAGAAGTATTCTAAGCAAATGTTTTTTCAAAGTCGTTAGGGTTGTTTAGGGTGCTTACACACGCTGGAAGTAGCTGGAGCGGGCAAAGACGCGGGTTATTTACGTCAGTACCATGCACAAGTTACTTGCACGTTTGGTAGATATAATTATTCGAGCCAGTAAATCTGTAAATCATATGCATAAATTGAGTAACGAGTTTCAAATGTCAAAAAATATATGCTTCAAAAATTTTTTTTGCCCAATATTAGGAGCGTGACATTTTCCTAGTCAAGTTTTTCCTTTTTTCTAAGTTATTTGAACACACATCAAAACAATGTTGTGGTATATTTAATAGTGCCATTGCATTTATCTCTGAATTGCAAAAGAGTGGCTCTCATAAGGCTCAACCCCTTGGAAACGGGCGGTTGTAGATCGGCACAGGCATGTCATAGATTTTGAATGGGTTTGATTTTTGTTAAATTTATTTGCTTACTATTTGACAAAACAGAGATTGTTGCTTTTGTGTGTGTTGATCTATGACTTTAGAGTCTACATAAAAGACGATTTGAAACAATTTTAAAATTTTATGAAATAAAGAGAGTTTGAGTTTGTTGTTTCACACTTGGAATCTATTTGCGAATTCCTGTGAATAGCTTCGTTGTTACTTTACTGTAATGTTTTACCTTGCGTTATTTGTGCTGTTGGTATTCCGAACAAAAAAAATATGCTGCTTGCGCGGGTTACATGCTCGAGTCGCTGGACCCGCATAGTCCTTTTCGCGAAGCAAATAACCAGCGCAAGTGCCTCAACATGCGCAATCTACTTGAATCGTGTAGAAGCACCCTTAGTGAAAAACCCACAGTCCAGACATTAGTGACTGCCTCGGTGGTGCAGTGGTAGCGTAGCGACTGCTGTGCTGAGGTCTTAGGTTCGATTCCTGGGTCGGACCAAATCTTTGTAAGATCTGCAAATATTGTTTCGGAGTTTGGGTGTTTTCTATTTATAACACGTATGTATTAACAATAAAAATGTATATAAGTAGTCTATCAGTCAGTCCAGCTTTCATAGTATAAGCTCTCGCATCACATCAACAGCCTTTAATAGTCCCCTGCTGGACATAAGCCTCTCCTTAGAAAGGAGATTTTGGCCTACTTTACCACGATGGCCAGACGGGTTGGTATAGGGTTTATGTCAAGTTTTCCTTCTCTCTGTTGTGCTACGTAGTTTGCTTCCTTAGTCGGCTCTTACGACACCCACGGGATGAATAGGGGTGGTGACACTCTGTGTTCTTACTCCGTCCCCACACGGATAAAGCTCTGCGGTATAAGCTCTGCTTAGTTTAAACTAGATGGCGTTGTGTGCCAGATGTCTGTCTCTTATAATAGTCATACACAAAAGGCCTGTATCCGCAAAGGGTTAAGCAGGTCATTATGCGTACTAAACTTTTTCTCGCCTAAGGAATCGCTATCGCCTTTACCTGCGGTCTAAGGTTATTAATAACCAGCAAATTGGAAGTGTATTGAAAAGGAAACAAGTGAAAATGGAAGGCAATGGAAACAGAAATATGTTTAATACGAATGCATTAAGGAGTGAAATAATAGCTGGACGTCAGGGTCCCGCATCTCTTTACATTCAAAAGTCCAATTGGCAGTTACTGGTTTTAGTTGTAAGTTTGCAGCACTTTATACTATAATAGCTTTTCCCCGCGGCTCCGCCCGCATGTATGTTGGTTATCGCGGTAATAAGTAGCCTATGTTACTCGCTGATAATGTAGCTTTCCATTGGTTAAATAATTTTTAAAATCGGTTTAATGGTTTAGGCGTGAAAGTGTAACAAACAAACACTTTTACATTTATAATTTAAGTATAGATTTTGGTATTGTTTTACCATACGGACAAGTTTAATTACCTAATTAAACTTGTCCGTGTGGAGATGGATTAAGAATAAAGAGTGGGTGTCGTAAGAGACGACTGAGGGACCAAACTCCGCAGGACAACAGCACTGCAAAGAGAAGGAAAACTTGACACAAACCCTATACCAACCTCCTTTCTAAGAAGAGGCCTATGTCCAGTAGTGGTCTATTAAGGGCTGACGATGAACTTAACTTTCACTTTAGGCAGTTTTCCCTCCAAAATATGATACTTGGACTATCTAAGAATATATTGTAATGGAAGGTTGCGTTGTCTACTGACATGATTTATGAGACCTTGGAGTCTGAGCAGTGGCTCTTTCGCAGATTACATTGAAAGCTAAATAAGTTCTACGTTTTTCAAAGTTGGTTTTTAAACGTTCCATAACAGTTGAAATTTTGTTCTCAAACAGTTCTGTGCTTGGAGCTTGCCGAATGTCATAGTGAGTGTTACCGTGCTGCACTATTTGTGGTATAGTGGTCAAACCAGTAGACGGGTCATCTGATGGTGACTACCGTCGTCCATAAACAACAAACTCAAGAGATACAAGTACGATGCTGCACTGTAAGTGCCAACCACCCAGGATTGCGGAGAGGGGCTCTGGTTGTTAATCCACAAGTCATGAAAAGTTACCAACGCGAATGTCAGTAGTAAGTAATAAATTGAATCTAATTCGACCTTGTCCCCTTTGTATTTCGGCCTTGTTGCCTAGTCACGCCAGTGTGCAATAACCATTGACAAAAATAGATAATAGTAATCCTAACCAGCCAGCGTCATTCTCTTTTCGAAATCGATTGACATATCACCCGTTGCCATGGCAACTCACCAACAACAGCTTGACATAAAGGGTTACGGAAACGAAAAGTTAAATATATTACCCAAAATATTACGGAGACTCGATATTTCGAGTATATTTATGTATAAAATGGTGTTTTATATGTGAAATGAATAATGTCAGTGCTTAGTTTGAAGCCGGAAGACAACCGAAAGGACCAAAGGTAAGTACTTGCTAAAAATAAAGGTATATCTGTAGTGTTATTGTTACCGTTTAAATAAATTATTATTATGTAGAAAAGGCTGAAACATTCGCACGAAGTACAATATTATTTTTTATTAGTGTCTCCTGATAATGGACAGGATGTTCTGGGTATTGTCAACAGTTTTCCTAGTACGAGTTAAGTAATAAGTGTTATTTTTAGTTATTCTCGATGTTCTGCCGTATTTATGCACTTATTTTTGTAGATTATTGTTTTTTACCTTAGCAGATTTCAAAACAATTGATATAAGAGAAATTCCTGCATTGATTGTGCCCGCGGGATGGTCAGTAATAAAGTTTTTATGGGTTCGTTTTCCGGTTTACAAATATTGAAGGATTGTTCTAGTGTAGACTTTGTAGAGAATTTGAGAACATTATCATTGACATCAGATTGGTAGTTCATTGATCTACAGCACCTACTTAATATGAGATTCATTTTAAATTTTAGTTATTTGTATGTGCATTTATGTGCTCACACATTTATGTGCTCTAATGGGTAGACAGAGGTGTCCGTATTAAATACCACATTTCAACAGGTATAGCCTCTTCTGTATTATCGCCTACAGGTCAAGTTAAAAAACTTCTGATATTTAGATTTTCTAAAATCTAATAACAATTGCCGCTATAAACAATCGAACAGAGGATCTCAAAATCACAAGTAATGAACCACATGTAGTCCTTATTTATGACACGGGAAAAATTGTCTTTTATTTAAACATATACCTACTCTCGCCTGTAGCTCTGAAGAGGTGGACAAAGACGTTCCATACAAATTGTACTAAGAATAGGTGTGAACTTGTAGCCAGCAACGTCGCACTAATGCGTCGACCGCAGCGAGTGCTGTCCATCAGGGCCATAAGGGGATACCACAAGATTCCTTTGGGGCGGCCAGTCTTCTTACCGGAGCCCCATCGTGGGACCCGGAGGCGAGAGCCCTTGCGGCTCTGTATTAGTGGCGCAATGAGGCGCGGGAGTTGGATCGGAGTCTTGAGACTTGCGAAATCGAGGACCAGGAATTGCAACTCCGCCAAGTCCTCGTGTAGAAGTGTGAAGCACAGACCTGTGCCGAGGTCTAGGGTGCACTGCCCTGGCCGGACCAAATGTTTGTATGATCTGCAAATGTTTGTTTCGGAGTTTGGGTGTTTTCTATTTGTAATATGTATGTATTTACAAAAAAAAAGTATTCTATCAGTCATTCAAGCTTTCATGATACAAGCTCTGCTTAGTTTGAAACTAGATGGCGTTGTGTGCCCGAAAATATATTCACATCACATCATCAAAAGCCTATAATAGTCCACTGCTAGACATAGGCCTCTCCTTAGAAAGGAGGAAAATATATTATTATTGGCCATTGATTTTGATTGCCCGTCCGTTCCAATCGAGCGTGTGATGTATCGAGGAGAATGTTCACCTGTCATGGAACGGAAAGTACTTAAAATGACAAATGTATTCTCACCTCAGGCCAGTTACACATAGGGCAGGGCTGTAATGGATGACTTTCTTTCTAATTCATACAATTATATTTTACAAAGATCATGGACCCTTTAAAGTACTGCGTATTTGTTGACGAATCCAGGACCATCCTAGCGCCGTGGGCCAAAGGTCTATTAGCGTCCATTATTCAGATGTTAGAAAAAGTTGTGGTCAAATTATAGAAGGGTTCCCATATTTTTTTTATATTATATTATAGAGCACAGTCCGTGTGGTGACGGATTAAGAATACAGAGTGTCACCATCCCTATTCATGCCGTGGGTGTCGCAAGAGCCTACTAAGAGAGCAAACTACGCGGGACAACAGCACTGCAAAGAGAAGGATAACCTGAAACAAACCCTATACCAACCCGTTTGGCCAGTGTGAGATAGTAGGCCAAAATCTCCTGTCTAAGGAGAAGCCCATGTTCGGCAGTGGACAATTAAAGGCTGATGATGATGATGATGATATCTATAAAAAAGAAAGTGAATGACTGATCGATCAAAGCACAGCTGAACCCGCTGGGTATAGAAGGATGAAATTTTGCACAAATGTTCGTAAGTAGAAAAAGGATTTTCAAAAATTCTATCCTGAAGAATGTAAAATGGGGGTTGGAAATATATATAATACTTCGTTATTTTTAGTAGTAGGATTTACAAACTAACAGCAAATACTCTTTATTAAAATACAGTACTATTTTTTAAAACTACACTTAAGAGGTGTGCAAGTTTATATGGAAATTATTTTTTTGACCTATCAATTCCAAACTCAGTAGAATTATATTCTTTACAGATTATAATAATATGTACACGTAATCATTTCAATATTATTACATTTTTCACGCTATTGATAAAAGATAATCAGCTTAATAGATAAGGTAAGGTTTCAATACGTCAAAATGTTTCGCAAATTGAATATTTGGCTAGTGCCTCAGAGGAAAAGCTGTACAAACATATCTACCGACTGTTTACTGTCTAAAAAGCTTTGGCCCATTTTAAGAAGCTGTATCAAGTGCTTATGAATTTAACATTAAATACAGATGTACTTATTCATTTCTTTTTGATAATCTTTTGATAATATTAATTATTATAAAGCATGCAAATCTTCACGAAAAGAGCGTACTCCTTCCTAAAAGGCCGGCAACGCGTTTGTGACTCCTGAGTTGCAAACGTTCATGGGTGACCCGTATGCTCGTCTGCCCCCTCTTAAATTAAAAATTGCATGGTATTCAATTTTGTAAATATTACAAAAGCAAGTTAATATTTTTATGATATAAGGAGCAAAATAGCAGATGCGTCAATAGGAATGGGATAGCTCATATCTTTTAACAATAGCTCAAAAATTACAATGACCAACTGTGTTAGTAGTACACTATCAGCTCAAATTAGATCAACCGGAGACTTCCTGAGGCGTTCTGATGTCTAATTATTCATTACTATAGTCCATCAACGTCGTGCGCGACCGTCCTGCGGGGTGACAGACGGTGGCGGGGACGAGGTACTCAAGATGTCAGCGGGTAGCGGGTGGTGTAGCGGGGAAGGGAAAACGCGTGTAGCCGTGTGCTAGAATGACGCGCTACCTCGCCCCCGCCACTGTCTGTCACCCCGCGGGACGGTCGCGCACGAGATTGCCGGGTTATAGTAACGAACACAAAAAATAACACTTCTCATCAGATATAATTAGTTCGGAAAGACCCTTAAATGTTAAATATAGGCGTTTACTGACTGTTTACGTGGCGATGCGTTTAGACAGAAGCAGTAAAATTAATTCAATGTCATATTTCGGATCTGGTCTAATGGTTAGCGATCGTAACTGCTGAGCCTGAGGCCGTATGTTCAAATTCTGCCCAGGATAAACTACAGTGTTATGAGTACGATATTTTTTTTTTAATTTCTTTGTGTATTTTATCTTTAATAGGTCTGTAATTATTAATGTTTATCAACAACCTGGTTACAGCAAAATGGGCTGTGCCAAGTTTGGAGTCAGACCCGCCATAACGGCCAGCCGCGTGTGCCGGACGTCGGCTAAATAGAGAATGTACCCGAAGGTGGTGCCCGCGCCGTTGCGGGCAAGCGCTAGGAGGGGTCCGGATGTCTTAATAACAGCAGTACCCGGATCCCTCCTATTACAGGCGCAGAGTGGCACACCGTGTGGTTTTAGTCGGTCCGATTCCGACACACCACCCCGCCGCAAACCCCGCTGGGGTGACGGCCCAAGGGGGTTTCCACACGTAAAAAAAAAGTTCGGAGTCAGATGGCGTTTTGAAATGTCAAATTATTATTATAGATAATTGTTTAAATTCCAGAAAGGAATCACTGGAGAGTGTGTACAGCAGCAACTCCCGGTTAAACCTGTTAAGTAAGCGCAAGCGTATGAATCCACTCGGAATGGACCTCTCCAACCCCTCACTGGCTAGGAAAGGAGGAGACAGATACGTGACGCAGAGGGTTACTGTCTGCGAAGACTCACAGGGTGAAAACAACTGCAGAATCAGTTGGCTGATGCTCACTTTCATTTACAGGTAATATTTGAAAAGATAGTGTAAATAGTTAACATATAATTAGTAGAAATTAAGACAATAGAGGTAGTTACTTGTTAGTAGATTTCAGATATAACTCATGTACTGCAAATAATGAAGCATCTTAAACTTACTAGAAATGATTGTCTGAATTGGCTGGTGATTGGCATCGAAACAGCACTTACGTATAAAGGTTACTTTATGCTGTTACCGTGTTACCCTGAGTTGACGAACAGCAAAACATTAAAATATTAATCATATTAATGGAAGAAAAACTTTTTTTTAAGTGGTATTCATAATAATAATAATACAGGGTTTTACCCACATGAGTATTTTTGAAGATGCTTGTCAGTCAAGCATCTTTGAAGCTAGAAGGTTTGAAGCAAGGTTTGAAGCTAGTCAATCATCTAGTCAAGCCATGACTAGATGATTGACTAGCTTCAAACCTGACGGGACCAGTTGTCAAGGGGTGGCGTGCCTTATTGAAGGAAACACACAAGTAGTCGGGAGTCCCCAAAATAAATCAGGGAATACCACGCTGCATATCGTACAGTAATAATTTATACAATTTATACAGTTTCAGCAAACGTTAATAATGCCAACGTATATTATGTTGTAGGTTGACGAACGTCGGATGTAATCATCCGAATTTTAAGATCTTGCCTCTATAGCCCTTATATCGTCAATTTCTACAGCATATGCAGTCACTATAGGCACGAGGCCGTGTAGTAACGGATTAAGAATACGGAATGTCACTACCCCAATACATACCGTGGGTGTCGTAAGAGCCGACTAAGGGCGCAAAACAACGCAGAACACCAGCACCTCTAAAAGAAGTAAAACTTGACACAAACCCTATACCAACCCGTCTGGCCAGCGTGGTATAGTAGGCCAAAACCTCCTTTCTAAGAAGAGGCCTATGTCCAGCAGTGGACTGTTAAAGGCTGTTGATGATGATGATGATAGGCACGATACCTATAATTTGCTATTATCGTTGGTTATGTGGCTCCAGTTTCATTTTTTTTTAGTTTATCTTTGTTTGCTTTACTTTTACGTAAATTTATCCTTTCCAGGAACTTAGTAATGAAAACAAGATTTTGCGTGCCGTTCAGAAGAAACAAGAAATTGCACTTCAAAGGTAACTTAACTGAAATTAGTTGTACAATTCCCGCCCATGCTGTTTTGTTGTTTTACCAGTTAAAACTAATAAAGAGAATTGTGTGCCAGACACATAAACAATATGAAGGAAAAGAAGTAAATGATGGATTCCATAAAACAATGTGGATATGGACAATGAAGTGAAGCCTTTAGATTAGGAATTGTTGTTATTTTAAATAATTGCTAATACTACAGACCGCCGGGTGATCAAATTTTGAAAGCAAAAATACGTAATATTTTACTGCACCTTTGGTCCAATCGTAAAAAATTTAGTTTTGTAGAACAACTTGAGCTGTCATTGTATCCCTGTAATCCATTCTTTTTTAAATTTCTTTTAGGTACGAAAATTCAAATGCAGAGCTCCCGCAAGTCTTGCATTCTCACACAGAAGAAGTGCGGATCCAACAAATGAAATACAAACAGTTGAAACAGCAAAACAAAGAAGTAATTCAGAAGTTGAAAGAACGTGACATGCAGCTGCAGCAACTGAGGGATGAGCATAATCATTTATTGGAGCTGAGCAAAGATAGGTAAGGATATTCCGTTCCATCTACATTCATTCTCATCGGTGGCAGATCCAAGCCTTGGTTCAACAGATCCTGCAAAACGGCGTCCTGTCGAAAGCAGGAATGTTACTAAGCATGAGCAAATGCAGCGACGGTAGCTGATGTAAACACCAGCACGCTAAAAAATAACGCAATACAACTTTACTGTCCCTCAAAAGAGCCATTGCCAGGGTTGAAATCGGAGCTCATCAGCAGTACTCCAAGGCAAGGGGGATTTCTGTAGCCAGTCCCTTCTACCCTTGTAGATGATTCGTTGGCCTATGATGCCAAGGAGAAAGTTGATCTCCTAGGTGAACTTTTTGCATCCAATTCGACTTTGGATGATGAAGGAAACGTAGACAAATGTGACCATATCGCGGTGGCAGAGCTTTATGCCGAAAATCCGGTTCTTCCAGAAATCAGTGGATACAGCACTCTTTTCCCTCGATATTCATAAGTCGAATGGGCCCGATGGAATCTCCCCTATCGTGTTGAAGACGTGTACTCTAGAGTTGGCACCGGTTTTAACGCGCCTTTTTCGACTTCCCTTGGCGTCGTCCCGAAATCCTGGAAAGTAGCTTTTGTGAATCCGATCCCTAAAAAAGGTGACCGCTTTGATCCGTCCAACTACAGGCATAGGACTGTAGTTGGACCATAACCTACTTGTTCTCTAAGATTATGGAATCCTAAATCAACTGTCAGCTCCTCCGGTACTTAGGAAATCACCAGCTACTCAATGACCGACAATATGGTTTTCGCCGGGGTCACTCAGCTGGATCTTCTCGTTTATCTAACATACCAGTGGACACAGGCGATTGAGACCAAGGGAGAGGCTTGTCCGGTAAGCTTGGACATAACGAAGGCCTTCGATCGGGTGAGAAGCGAGAGAAGCGCCTTATACCACGCTTCTCTCAAAGCTCCCTTTCTATGGGGCCTCCCGATAAATTATGTAACTGGTTTACCAGTTTCCTTGAAGGCAGAAGCATTAAGGTCGTTATCCATGGTGCATGCTTCGACTTGAAGACTGTTAATGCTGGTAACCCGCAAGGCTGTGTGTTATCACCCATACTGTTTCTTCTACATATCAATGATATGTTGCGAACTAGTAGCATCCATTGCTATGCAGATGATAGCACGGGAGATGCCTATCATACTCGCCGCCCTAATATTTCTCGGGAAAACGTCATCGAGAGTCGCAACAAACTTGTCTCTGAAATTGAAATTTCTTTAGCGGAGGTTTCAGATTGGGTCGACTGAATCTAGTCCATTTTAACCCAAAAAAAGACACAGGAAAAAAGAGTTGCAGGCGTTCATGGGCGGCGATAGTCGCTTTCCATCAGGTGTCTCCTCTGCTCGTTTGTCACCTCTTTCATAAAAAAAATTGATTCTCGAAATACACATGAATTAGCGGTTTGAGTTGACCATTGCCATCAATTTCGCACATTTGTTTCTAACTGCAGTTAACAAGTTTCTATGGTTTGTCATTCAGAAATGTGTCTATTTGTTATGTAGTTTTTGGATGCCGAATAAAACGGATGTATTCTATCTATGGCCCAATGCCTTAAACCATATTTTGGAAAAAATCTTTGAGCCCCGATAGACAAAACAACCTTTCCAGTTTCCCGTTCCCTTAAAAAAGATGTCAAGAGAGAGATATATAGAGATAGATTTTTAAGAGAAAGCAGAAAAAAATCTTAGTAGTAGACGACACTTTAAATCATCAAATTGTTTATGTTGCTTATTTATTTTTAGGAACCTCCAAGACCGCGAAAAGCTTCAAGCCCAACTTACAGAGCTTAGCAGCAAAGTCCAGCAACAGAACGAAACGATAATGATGTTACAACGTCGTATTGCCCTCGAAGCGAAGAACTTCAAACACCAGTTGCAGAACGAAATCAATAAGCACAAAGATACGAGACATGATTTAGACATGGCCATCAATAATGCGGATAAACTGACAACTATTATTGAGGTAAGGCATTGTGATCTTGTAAGTTTTGGTTGTAATTTAATTAATTTGAAATGAACGACGAAGAAGTGAGTGATTGTAGATAGTTAAACTAGGCCAAGAGACGGGGCATCTGGACCTATTTTTCTTTGGGCATACTCAAAGTTCTTACAATAGTCGTTTTTGATAAGAAACCATGTGTCCGTTGCTTCAATTTTGATATGTTACTTTACCGTTAGCATCGGTCAGGTGATGATTCGTTGTGACTTCATGACGAGAATTTTATGAGTGTCATAACTTCTAATAGTAACTCAAGCGAAACTAAATATACTGGTATACGTATAGTTAAACTATATTTATGCTGTTGTTGCACATATATACAATGCTTGCTCGATAAAATGTTTTAAAACGTATTGTTAAGCAAATTTAAGGCGAAAATCCCGATACTTTTTTTGCCTAAAAACGCCTTCTGAAACTAACGAGTGTGTTCATTATTTCTAAATTTGGCACTACTAAATAGTTTATATTTCGGATGCACAATTTGTTTCAATGCCGATGCACAATCTGTACAGAAATAGAAATTGCTTTTAGACATCATAAAATCATATCAGTGAAACTCAAACTAAACCGAGCTTGTACAATGGTAACCAGACTGCTGCTAAGTATTAAAATACACCCAGACACAGAACAAATGATTGTGCTCATCACACAATTATTTGTCCTGGCCGAGATACGAAGTTTCCATTTTTAATTAATTGAAATTAGAAAGATTTGTTATTTTTCCTTTTTTTTTGTTTTGCTTACGCAGGTTTTAAGTAAATTCTAACTGCCTTATTCTGTAGTTACCACTACATTGATTCTATGCAGGATGACGCCATGGTTTTATGTATAACTCGACTTTAAATTGCAGTGGGGCCCACATATTGAGATATTGTCAAATAGACTAAGCTCTGCAGCATACGCGGTTCATAAAATTCGTCAATTAAACGATGTAGAAACAGCTTCACTAGTGTGCGTTTTAGCTACTTTCATAGTGTAATGTCATGCGGTATTTTGTTATCGGGCAATGCTGCTGACAAGTATCTTTGTGTTGCAAAAGAGAGCTATTCGCGCAATTTACGTTCGTATCATTATTGTTATGTTTGAGAGTGACGAACATTTAATTTCTTCGTGTATCTTTAAACTGTAAACAAACTATTGTTTGCTTTCAATTTGTTTATTTTTCGTAGAATTCGAATTGTATGGTATATTTTATTTGCGTAAGTATGAAAATGTGAGTATAGTGTAGGCTCGTAATGTTAATTCATATTTCTAGTCACTTCTGGTGGTTTTAAGTGTTTCCACGGCCTACCCAAATGTCCGCTGGCGGTAGTGTTGTGCTTCGAGTCGTTGATCTTGACCATTATCGGTTAAGCTAAACCTTGAGTTGCTGGTGTCCATGGGCGGCGGTAGTTACTTACCATTAGGTGACCTGTCTGCCGTGAGTGGGTAAAAAAAAACATTATTTATATTTCAGATGAAAGAGAAAATGCTAAGCACAGCGGCGAGCCGGTCAGTCAAGTCACCAGTGAAGACTTCTTCCAGCAGTACCCTCCCGGTGACTAAACAGCAATACAGCTACAAAACTAGCCGTTCAGAGACTGATGCAACTGTCAGTGCTACTAAAAGGGATGATAGAGTTAACGTATGTATATTTTGATTTGTTCTAATGTGGTGAAAAGTCTATTGATATTGAACAATTGGTCGTTGTTACTAATTAATCAAAATACTAAAATAACAAAATGGGTTTTGTTTAATATGCGTGTACCCCTATCCCTTTGAGGTAACGGGAGTTAGTAAAGTTTACGAGTAAAGTACTTTGTCGAAAGAAATTGGTTAGGAAGTCTTTGAAGCATTTAGTATAAATAAAAATATCCTGGTAGAATAGAAATAAATTAACCAAAATTACTTATTTTAAAAGTACTTTATAAAAATCTTTACAGTTGGACCAAAATATAATAGCAAAGTTATGTGAAAACTCTCGCAACGTCAGCAGTGCATTATCCCATGAAGAGGATACCTCATCGTCTACTGAACCACGTTCACGATATGGCAGAAGTCGCACTAACTCTACAAGTACCCGCTCCACTTCAAACACTGGTACCAGAAAAAATTCTAAAAGCTCTGATGAAATGGTGGATCTCGCAAAAACTGTCCAAGATGGAATGGCCGATTTAGCCATATTCGATGACGAACTAGTTATAGAGCAACAAGATGAAATTCATAAAAAAATAGAAGGATTGAAAACTGAGCTAATGAAAAGAATAAAAAACGATGAACCACCATCTAGAAAAACTAGTGCTTTGAGAAGAAAAACACCAGAGGAGTCTATCGAAGAACAACCTGAATACGAAATACATGAACGTCCAAAATCTAGAGGCAGAAGAAACTCCAGCGTTTCATTCTACGAAGAATCAAGCATTGCAGAATCTACCACAACAGTTGCAGTACATGAGAAAGAAAAACAAATTTGTGTTAAGCGAGAAAACAGTTCCATTGGTGAACGAAGCGTTAAGCGCGAAGGCAGTGCACTTAGTGAACGCATGATAGATGGCAAACCCATCGATAAATACTGTAAGGATATAATGCAAGATATCGAAAAGAGCACTAAAGTTATAGATAAACATATGAAAGCTTTCGGTCAACCACGATTTGAAAGCGACAAACTTGTGGAACAGCTAGAAGTCGTAGATAAAATAAATGAATTTGTAAATGGTAGTGGGGATATTCCCGAAGCAGCATTGTCAGAACTTAACAATAACTTTAAAATGCTGACAGAGAATGTACTTTCTGAAGCACCGTTAGCAAGAAAGCGATCAATTGCTAGTAGAAGAAATTCCCGGGACGCGAGAACAAATTTACTCGCTGATTCAATGACCAATCAGGAAATGTTAGAAGATCTGTTAGGAAGAAAATGATATACGGCCTTGACTAAATCATTCACTCCTGCGACTGATTAATAGCCTCTAATGGGTGTTAGTGTTGAGAGGTTTAGGCAATTGTTTAAAACATCTCTTTGTACAAATTCTAATTTCGTGCTTAATTTGCGAAACTTGAGAGGGATAGTCAAACAATTTTTGTTCTGAAAAGTAAACATATTTTTTTACTGCAACTTGAAACCGAGTCGGATCTTTTTAACGGCTGACGAAAACATTGTTCTGGCATGAGCTGGATTTCTATTCGATTCTCGTAAATGAGGATTAAAGCTTAGACCCAATTATATAAAAAAAACCGTTAATTAAGTGCTTGCCAGAGCTTAGAAACTGAGGTACTTGCATTTAACAGATAAAGTTTGGTCCTTCCTAAAAACTTTAACAGCAAAATCAAAATTACACATTGTGAAATGGCATTTAAGATTGAGAATTTAAATATATATTTGCGAAGGTATATAAACGCAAGAAAACTACGTAAATTATAATGTAAAAATTAAACATGTATGTATTAGACAACTTTTCCAAAAAGTATTAGACAATTAGCAATGACCAATTTTATAACTTTGGTTTATTCGCGTAGAATATGTAAATAATTAGGTACGAACTGCCAACGATTTGTGACAATAGAAACTTGTGTTGCAGTCCTTAGTAATAGTACTTAGCTCTATTTATGAATGTATAAAATACAGTTTTGATATATTGTAACTGGACACGTGGCATTTCTTGACGTATATTGATTTCTATTTAATTATCTCAGATTATGAACGATATGAATAAACGACTTTACTAGCTTGTATTTCTGGGCTGTTCTTGGTGGGCTCTTTGTTCTTCTTCGTTGTATACTTCAATATTTGTTTACTACAAGTCCATTTTATAAAATTTATGAAAAAAAGGACATTGAATTAAATTGCAATTTTTCTATTGTCCGGCTTTTATGTTATATTTAAAAATATTATTTGAAGAATTATTTCCGATTTGAATAAAAGTTTCAAGGACGTGTGTGAACGTTTTCGTGTGCCGTGTTTTGCTATTGTATGTATCTTTATATTGTTATCCATTATACTAAAGAATGTGATTGAATAATAAATAAATATTTTATTTTTCGTAATATTAATTTTGGTCTATTTTAAGTTAATGTACTAACCTCCTGTTATAACACTTTGCAGAGTAGTGACAATTCCAATTTGTATTTTGGAATGACAATCAAGAATGACAATTCTTAGTCAGGTCTAGTCTTTAAAATTTCCGTTTTGCTTGACGTTAAGTTTATATTACCGAGATAACAAATACACTTACTGTATAGCTTACTATACATTTACCGTTGAAGCCGTCTTAATACCGGTCTCGCAGAAAACCGGTATTAAGACAACTTTTCTTTGTTTTTCACGCAGTGGGTGAGGTTATCGGAGCCCAAACCTCCTCTCCCGACTGTCGGGGAAGGGACTCAAACAGCTGCAAAGCACTTGTAGCTCTTGAGTTGCAGTTGTCCTCGGGCGATGGTAGTTGCTTACCATCAGGTGACCCGACTGCTTGTATGCACTTATTTCTTGAAAAAAGAAATTGAGTACTAAATAACTTTAAGATATATTTTTATGTCGGCCTAACAAAATTTTGTAGAAAGCAAGAAAAGTAAAGAAGATGCCTTCTTGTACCTTTAAAAAATTCTATATCACAATTTTAGTAAGAGGCTGTAAGTAACATTATTTTATCGAACTAGGAATCAAAATGAAAATAAAGTATTTTAAGAAATAAATAAATTAAGAACTATGCGATAAATTTATCACATAATATCCAATATATCTACATTGTTTAATAAAAGTGACGAGTGAGTAAGAATAGACAGCTGGATAAATCTTTGAAGAAAAAAAATCTCTTACTAGGTATGAATTCTTTCAATCTAGAATATCCAACTGTTATTTACTTTGGACTTTTTTATATTTAAATTTGAATCTCTGAATCTCCATAAAGAGTTTCAAAGAGTCAAACAACATACTGTTGTGACACATTTCATGTAGTGTACAAGTACGTGTGTACCTATATTTAGATTTATAAAAGAATCTCAGTCTCTGGAGAGGTCAGGATCTGAAGTTGGGTCGACCCTACTCAAGAACTAAACAATGCACGGTGCGCTTTGAACAGATATGTCATGCCGCTCCAAATTTGTTTTCCAATACGGCCTGTGTTTTTTCTTAATAAATATACTGTCTCAATTTTTTCTCTCCTCAGACAGAATTAATCATAACAATACTCGTATATAATAAAGGCAGTAAGTTTGTGACGTACGATATTTACGCCTAAAATCGAGGCAAGTGGGGTCGCTCTTTGATTAAGGTTATAGGTATATATAAGGTTATTGTTATACCCGAAATTAATAAGATACCCCCAGAGTTCATATACAGTTGAGTGTCTCTTTTATAACTAAGAATATCTGAAACGAACGTTTTGTTATAAATTATGTTGTATTGTATTCCGAAGGATTTCAACATAAAACATTACGAACACAGAGAAAACGTTTTAACATCTAAATTTAAATCTAAGATTTTATGACATATTATGAGGAACACGAGAAGGGTCACCTGATGTTAAGTGATTACCGCCGCTCATGGATACCAGTCACAAGTGCGTTTGAGTCCCTCCATACAATCAGGAGTAGGGGTGTTTTGGGCTTCGGTATCCTTACTTACTTAGGATTGCTTAGCACCGATTCACTGTAAGGCTGTGGTATCACCCTGGTCGAGTCTGCCTATTGGTGTCAAATGTGGCTCTTTCATGTTGACATATTTATTTATTTATTTGAAATCTTAACAGCTGTGTTACGTATATCATACCTTTACATGTTGTACCTTTATAACACCTTAATATGTATACCCATGTTCGCAAAATAAATTCGATTTGATTTGATTTGATCATGGGCGAAGTTAAACATTGCAATGGACGCTTAGTCAATAATAAAGTTTCCCGACAAGTAAAATGGCCTGCACCACTTAAACATAGGTAATTATAAATATCATAAATCGTTTCTAATTTAGGTATATTGTGCAGAGCGAGAAGAATTTCAAAAGAAAGTAACTTATTTAACAATCTTGACTTGGATTTACAAGTATGATTGCGACCTTTTCGACGAGCTTGTTGGTCTAGTGATTAGTGACCCTTTGTGACAGGACAAATAATTATGTGATGAGTTCGGTGATTTCTTTTGTGTCTGGGTGTAATTTATCTATGATATTTATGTATTTAGAAATATATAAGTATGTTTGTCAGCAGTCTGGTTACTATGGTGCCATAGAGAAAGACTGCTCTGTCTAGTTTGGAACCAGACGGCTGTGTGTTAGATGTGTAAAAGCCGAAATTAAATTATTATTTGTAATTGTTATTATTATTGTTTTAGTGTCTTGTTTTTTTAAAGGCACTTTTTGAGTGGCAGAAGATTTGGTGGAATTCCGTCAAAATTATCATTATAACAGCTAGGCAAGCGAGTGAGAATAGCATTCTTACCATAATTGGTGCGGTGCAGAGGAACACTAAACATAACTGACTGACGTTCATGTAACATTGTTTATTTTTGATGTGCTTGATGATTTTGATCTGATTGATGCTCGTAAGAGAGCAGATCACAGAGGGTCTCAAAATCAACGCGTTCTACGAAAGTTCTAATAGCAAAAAAGAAGTGACTGGTGGGCTGAAAACAAAAAATAATAGAGAATAATAAGAGAGTAAGTTAAGAATATATTCTAAAAGCAGTTTAGCCAATGTTGCAATAGACCGTTTGATTTATAGGTTCAATATTCACACAATTTCGACATAAGTTCAAATTTTGTAGTGACGTAGTGAAGTATCGCTGACATTTTTAGTCTTCACAATTCGCGTACGTGAATTATTTATATCAAAAAGTTAGACTGTATATTGTATTGTTGATTGCTTTTTATTTCATTTAAGTGAAAACTTCTTTAGGTGCGTTGGGTATTTTTGAACAACATGCAAAGGAATGTGTTTTATGAGAAAAAACATTGAGCTCGCAACGCTGTTACCGTTACCGACACCTCTGTATATAAGTTTGCAACTCTGTCGGCACTGCCAGAGTGCCACTGTTTTTTTTTGGTACTGGGGGCAAATGAGCAGACGGGTCACCTGATGGTTAGTGGACGCCGCTCATGGTCACCTAATACGCAAGAGAAGTTTTTTGATGCTCTGAGTCTCCCCTCAGTAACGGAAAGGAGGTTTTGGAGCTTTCCTGTCAGGCCGAGGTATTAATACGGTGAGCTGGCCCCTTTATGCCGAAGCATGGCTTTAACACCTTTGTGACAGGTCATTTCACTTTTTGAAAAAGGGCCCTAGTTAGGTTCGAAATTAGTTGAGAATCCTGGTAAACGTATCAAAAAAAAATATATATTTTCATAATAGCACTTTTTATTAGAATACTTTCGTCAAATCAAGGTTAAGTGACTTTTGAATTCTCAATGGAGATATCGAGAGCTACTATACTGTTCGGCATCAGCAGGTTCGCAGCTCATGCAAATTAATGATGTCCCGACTTCACTTGAGTGTTGACTAACGGTGGAAATATTATAAAAAAAAAAATTAGCTCTGAAGATATCAGTTCTGCTTGGTATGTGTTGCTTTTTGCGTTTAATTTCTTGCAATGTTGTTAGGGGATATTTTTCTGGTTTCAAAGATAATAATTATAAATATGGGGTGTATATTATATCTTCGTATTCTAACTATCGTCTCCGTGTGGTGACGGATTAAGAATACGGAGTGTCACCACCCCATCCCATGGGTGGCGTAAGAGCTGACTAAGGGAGTAAACTAAGCAGGACAACAGCACTGCAAAGAGAAGGAAAACTTCAAACAAACCCTCTGTCTAAGGAGAGGCCTATGTCCAGCAGTACTACGGCTCTTGATGGTGATGATTCTAACTATTTCTTGAGTTTGTGTGTTCGATTCCACATAGCCGCACAAAAGCACCGTTTGATTTTTCATTGTCC